GCTTTTGAAAGCCAATAGAATTAGACTCTATTCAAAAGAGTCTATTCTATTGGCTTTCAAAAGCCAATAGAATAAAAGGGAGTAGCACAGCTAAGGAAAAGAGCAAAAAAATGGCGGACTGCGTGGTTTGGCGACCCCCGTGAAATGGTCGTTCGACCCCAAATGGGGTCCCGACTCACAGGTTGAGAATCACTGGCTTAAGCAAACTGGGACCAAGTAACCAATTAACATCAGCTCTAATTGGCTGGGACTTTTCAGACTCACTGCCCAATTTGCTAATTGGTGATACCTCATGTTGCTCATAAATTGCGGGACTGGCCCAAAGTCACCCAGTTGGTTTTCATGCCTAAGTAAGACTAGAATTCACACTCTCCCAGTTTCTAACCTAATGCTCTTTGTACTTAAGTAAGAATCACAGCCCTTGCCTTAAATGCAACGAGTATGGGGTTTGTATCATTTAAATCGCAGTACAATTGTGACACAGAAAAGCCTTTTATCTGTTCAGATTTTAAAATGTTTATCCCAGTTAAAACATAAAAGACAACCGGCTACAAAGTTGACTTTTAAAATAATCTCTTACACCAACTACTCTAAACCCTGTCTATACTTTCATCCCATGCTAAAGGAAGTGGATTGCTATTCAAGGCGAGTTTGCATTGCCAGAAAGAAGGATTATTATTCAAGTAACTCACCAAAGATTGGCATTCCTGCTTAAATCCATTTATATTCTACCAAAGTTGTTTTTACCTAAAGATACCATGCTCCAGCTATCTAATCCTGTAATAAACTATTTTTCCTAGGTGGGAGATTTCTTTTCCATTACCTGGTTTATAAATATCTAGTTGCTCTTTCGACAAGTTAATAAACAAATGGCGATAAAGGAGAATATTTGTAAAGGGTTGAAAAGAGGGGTCCTTGGTTATTTTCTTGCAGAAGTTTCATTACCCAGCTAGGTAACATCATCAAGGTCCCCTAATAAATAAGTCTTTAAATAACCAAGAGCCCATTGGTCAGTCCCTTTCAGTTGCATGATTTTATTAATTCTGAAATATTCTGCAGGCTTTTTTTTTTTTAAAAAAAGGTAGGATGGGTTCATCAATTTAAGAATATTTTTTTCTATATTTTCAGTAAGTATTTTCTACACCCTGGCTAGATTCTTACATACCAGGATGCAGAATACCTATCATAATTATAATTTGGCCAGGGTTCCAAGGCTGATGCTAATATGGATGGTTTGCCTGGATCCTTGTAAAATACAGGTGGAAAACATTTCAAAGATCTGAGAATTAGAGTAGAACTCAGAGTTTGCAGCATTCAACTAACCAACCTATCTTTTAGGTTTCCTGAAATTTTCACTAGAGAATCGAATCTTAAATAATTTTAAACTAGAGTCCACTAGTAGACATAGGAGCTGGGCATCAGAAAAGGCAGCAATTTGTTAATTTGATGTTTAAAAATCCATGATTAAGTTCTTCTATGTTAATGCAAGAAACCAGCATGGATGTGTCCACGTACATCAAGAGTCCAGCTGTTTCTGTACTAGAGACAAATTCCTTATGTATCTAACCACACCTGGCAAAATTATTCTATTCTATTCTATTCTATTCTATTCTATTCTATTCTATTCTATTCTATTCTATTCTATCCTATCCTATCCTATCCTATCCTATCCTATCCTATCCTATATTCTGTTCTGTTCTATTCTATTCTATTCTATTCTATTCTATTCTATTCTATTCTATCCTATCCTATCCTATCCTATCCTATCCTATCCTATATTCTGTTCTATTCTATTCTATTCTATTCTATTCTATTCTATTCTATTCTATTCTATTCTATTCTATTCTATTCCATTCCATTCCATTCCATTCCATTCCATTCCATTCCATTCCATTCCATTCCCAATTCTCTATGTATTCTCTATGTTCTGTATATTCTATATATTCCATGTTGTACTCTACACTATTTAGATTTGACTACAATTTCTCAAATATCGTTTGTTCAGTAGCCCATAAGTCTAAATTCTGGTTGCATCTTTCCATTATATGATCTTGTTTATATTTTATTTCTCTTTACTGTGACAGTCCATTCCTCAAAGATAAATTGAGCGTATATTGTTCCTTGTGGAATTACTTCAGTAGATTTCAGTTTTTGCTTTCTGCTCTGGCTGTTTGGGTCACTAGCAAAGGATAAAAAGGGCTCAGGATAACTCAGCTGGTTGCTTCTCTGTGGTCTTTATCTTTCATCATGGGTATTAGTCATCTTTCCTTCTAACTGGCTGTCCTCCCCAGCTCCCACCGTAGACACTAATACCCATCTTTGTCTATTTTTTTCTTATTCTTATACGCTCCATGGAAATCCTTGCAGGGAACATTAAGTTCGTTTTACACGTAAGGCCCCTGATGTTTTCCTGATTTGTGTTCTTTGCCAGAAATTTTAGAGAGAAGATAGAAGCAACATTTTAAGAAGAAGGTTGGCTCTTTTATTGTGATGGGAGACAGGAATAAGAAAAAGAAAATCCAAATCTGCCCATGACAGATTCTGTTAGCTACTTTCTGAGATCAGCAAAAAAAATAAAATAATCAAATCTGTTTTTCCATTTATAAATGGTACAATCATATGTAGGTAAACAGAATTTTGCACACGCATTTTAAGCAGTGCCCAAACACGAGAAATTTGGATTGATGGACAAGAAAGGTGTTAGCTAATGAATTTTAGGAGTTGGCATTTACTTTGACTGCATTAATTACAAAGCACGTTTTACAGTGACAGAATTCTCTGCTTTGCAAAAGTTGCTGGGTATCTGTTTGTTTTTGCACCTTGCGATTATTCTTTTATCTTTATAGGCTTCCATTGTTTTGTAGCTGCTCTTTTTAAATATCAGTAGTCCTCAATGTACGACCACAGTTGAGGCCAAAATTTATGTCGCTAAGCAATTTGTTAAGTGAGTTTTGCCCCGTTTTGTGACTTTTCTTGCCACAGTTGTTAAGCAAATCACTCCAGTTAGCAACCTAATAGTTAAGTGAATCTGGCTTCCCCATTGACTTTGCTTGTGAGAAGGTCGCAAAAGGAGATCACGTGATCACAGGACACCATCATAAATATGGACCTGTTGTCAAGCATCCAAATTTTGATCACATGACCATGGGGATGCTGCTACAATGGTTATAAGTGTGAAAAATAGCATAGCATAGTGTAGCATAGCATAGCATAGCGCTTATATACCGCTTCACAGTACTTTACAGCCCTCTCTAAGTGGTTTAGAGAGTCAGCATATTCATCCCAACAATCTGGGTCCTCATTTTACTGACCTCAGAAGGACGGAAGGCTGAGTCAACCTTGAGCCAGTAAGGATCAAACTGCTGGCAATTGGCAGAGTTATGGAAGGAAGGAAGGAAGGAAGGAAGGAAGGAAGGAAGGAAGGAAGGAAGGAAGGAAGGAAGGGCAATAGCAATAGTCTTTACACTTATATACCGCTTCACAGTGCTTCACAGCCCTCTCTAAGTGGTTTAGAGAGTCAGCATATTCATCCCAACAATCTGGGTCCTCATTTTACCGACCTGGTCATAAGTCACTTTTTTCCAGTGCCATTGTCACTTTCAACGGTCACTAAGTGAGCTGTTGCAACTCGAGGGCTACCTGTAGTCTGTTTGCATTCTCATTTTAAATGTTTCTTAAAAGCTTTTTTTTTTTTTTGCAAGAAAGCCCCTTCCCACATTTTTGTTAATGGAAGACTGGTACAGAAATGAGAAACAGTTAAAATAAACAATATGCTTTAGCCTTCTTGAGCTTTAGAATGACTACACAACAGGCACCGACATCTTAAAGTATGTTACATGGGCTCTTCTGATTCACCTCGACAGACGGTTGATATCGTTCCATCGTTTTAAGCAAGATGTAAAATATCCTTGCAATTTTTTTTTTTTTTTAGGAATTGAGAATACTGTAGTTTTTCATAATGCTGCACAGGGAGTTGACTGCTGTCTGATATGATCTGGTATATTGAGATGAAAATGAAATAGCATTTCCCTCCCCCTTCCCTCCCCCCCAGGGGCAGTTTTTATTCCAAGTTGTAGACATCTTTCCCATGTTTGAATGTGTTATATATCGGAAAGGAAAGTTTTGTGTTCAGACAAAATTTATATACTTGAATTTTTTGGGATGCTGTATACTTGCCTTAAATGTTATTCTATTCTTAATAGCATTTAGTAGGTTGCTCTTACTATAAAATTGAATCTGCTTGCTTTCCCCCCCCCCCATCTCTCTTTCCAAAATTTATTGGGTGCTTAATAGTCAAGCTGGTAAAGATTGCAGAAGTGTTTCCATTCTAACAGATAACCTCTTGGGTTGAATTTTTCCACGCTGCTGGCTGTAATTCAGATTGCTATAGTGGAATACAAACCAAAGGTAATAAAACATCTGTCACATTGGCTTCAATGGAATATAAATGCCTTCCACTCAATGGGAAAAAGCTTTCTGGAGACTGTATTTCATTAAACAACAGCAAGCATAGTAATGACGTAATATAATGGTGCAGTTAAGAAAAATAAATATCAGAATGGTATACGAATGTCTATACAGGTGAAAAACTATTGACTATATTTTAGCACTTAGTTTTATTATGATGATTGTATAAAATTGCAATTTAAAGAGGGATGCAGTTTGGAATCTGGCTTCCCCATTGATTGGCAACCCACCTGGCGACAGGAGTCCATGGCTGTCCCTCTTAAATTAACTAAAACTGGGAGTTGAAGTCCACAAGTCATAAAAGGGCCGAGTTTGAAGACCCCTGGTTTATAATATCAGCATTATTTCCATATTTCCCCCAACAATCTGGGTCCTCATTTTTACTGACCTCAGGAGGATGGAAGGCTAAATCAACCATGAGCCCCATCAAGATTGAACTCTAGACTGTGGGCAGAGTGTTGCCATTGAGAAATGTACTGTATTTGTCTTCTTTCTTTTGAATCTGTAACAGGTGGTCTTGTGTTCTTTTCTAGACAACAGCAGAACAGTTGCAAGAGGCTTATTTCTTGCCCGAATTTGTACTTTCTCCACAAGGAAGTTTTTTAGAAGACACCACAGGAGAACAGTTCCTTACTTACCACTTTGATGATCAGGTTAGTCTGCTGCATATGAAATGAGGGTGATCCTTTTATTCAATGTTGGGAACGTCTCTGCTTGTTGGTGTGATGGGCTGGTGCTGTGCTGGCTGTCTTTGTGTCTAAGCCAAGGCCATTTCAGACAGTCCTCATTTAGCAACTGTCTCGTTTAGTGATGAAACAATACAACTTTATGTCCAGTCCTCACACTGATGACCATCAAGGTCTATAAAGCAAGGGGAAGCTGAAGTCAGATCATAAGCACAGTCGAAATTTCAGTTAGCAGCTGCTTCACTCTGGGACCGAGTTGCAGGTCCCAGTTGTGTTTGCTAAATGAGGACTATCTGCATTTCTCTTAACATGATGGAAAGCTACAAAAAATAAAATGATATTCCTAGTTAAATGAATCCCTATCTGAACAGGAGGTTTTCTCAGTCTGCGTAGAATCTGTGAGCAAAAGGCAGCCATATATGAACCTGGAACATAATCCATATGAACGGACTTAGGTTTGGCTAGTCTAAAGAAAAGAAGAAATAGGGGAGACATGATAGCAGTATTTGAGGGGCTTCCACAAAGAACAGGATGTCACATTATTCACCAAAGCACCAGAGGGCAGGACAAGAAACAATGGTTGGAAACTGATCAAAGAGAGAGGCAACCTGGAATTAAGGAGACAATTCCCAACAGTGAGGACAATTTACCAGTGGAACAGCTTCCTTCAGAAATCGTGGATTGCTCCATCACTGGAGATTTTTAAGAAGAGACCAGACAGCCACTTGTCTGAGATAGTATAGGTTCTCCTGCTTGAGCAGGGGGCTGGACTAGAAGACCTCCAAGGTCCCTTCCAGCTCTATTCTATTCTAATCTTCGAGCCATCTAATTTACGAAAAGAAATGGTGCAAAGATAGAAAAGAAGGGAACCGATGTTAGATATTCTCCTTTTCGTGTCCCACTGAAAAATGAGAACGTGTGTGCTAATAAACCTCATGCACTTGTGTATGTCACTGATAAACCTCATGCACTTGTGTATGTCACTGAATTGTATTCTGTATTAACTACGGCATAAAAATGTCCTTTTATAGAGAGATGACTCAGATTAGTTTGGCCTGTGCTCATTCATAAGTCCATTCCATTTCATTTCCACATTGATCCGTGAGCGTTTGTGGTTAAGTCAAAGATCTGCATACTTTGACGATGAAGTCAGTAACATAATGTGTTTTAGGCACAATTTGGGAAGTTTTTAAAAGCCCTAAAAATTCATCCCCAATTGTAGAGAATGGCAAGAATAACTGTTTTCTCAAACACATGTTAATTCAGGAAGTGGAAATTATATTGGTTACCTTTGAAATGAAGATCAAATTGTCTTTGGTAGTCAACCAAATACTTCACAAAAGGATTTCTTATAATCGCCTTCCACAAGACATAGTGACATGTAAGAGATCAAAACGCTGCAAACGAACTCTCATATTGTGTGTTTTTTAAAAATGGAACATTTGTAATATTCACAAAACCATCTTAGAGAAATCCCTAAATACAGCTAACATTCCATAATGTGTAGCCATGGAATGCATCACTTTCCATGTTTATTTAATTATTATTATTTTTTGCAGGGCTGGGTTATTTTGTGCTCGACGAGCTTTATTAAACAGTGAAATTACAAAGGGAGTTAGTAATGGATAAAGCAGGGACTCTGGAAAATAACAAATCATGTTTCTTCTAATTAGACCGGCAATGCGTATTCCAGAAGCTAGAGATAATTGTGCTAAATGTGGAGTAGAGATATAATGGCAAAGAAAATAGCACATAAGAGCCCCTGTTAATCTTGGCAAATGTTCTAAAGCTAACCTGGGAAGTGTGTCACAGGCTGTGGACATTCATTTGTAACACGAGGCCTCCCCCAAACACGTTGAGCTCTGCATGAAATTGATGGGAATTGTACATGGACACTTAAAGCACAGAGGTAGCACAGTGTGAGTAATGCAGAGATGTAAAGCCCCCCCCCCCAATCTGTTAAATGGTAAATAGTTTCCTTTCCCCCCTGCCCAGCCAGCCTGGCTCCAGATAAACTCTGCTCATGGCAACTATTCTTTCCCTCAGACATAGTTTGATATGTGAGAATGATGGCCATGTTAGATTACAGTTGTGGGGTCTCTAGCGCTCTCTGAGCTTGATGGTTTCCTGGCAGATGTTTCATGCAAGTGCACCAATGATGTAACCTGGTTGGATGATGAAACATCTGTAAGAAAACATCCAGGTTCAGAGAGGTCTCCAAAGTTCAAGGTTAGTTACAAATATTCTCTTCTGTCAGAAGATTATAATTTTCAGAAGTGGTCAAGGCTGCTATCTATCACCATCTCTCTGTGGTATTTCCTGTTTTGCTACCAGTCAGTTGAGATTTGAATCCACCCCTCAGATGCAACCGTTCAATGCCAACGTGAAATCCCAAGTCCTCCAGCCAACCCATCTTAGCAGATGGCTCTTGGGGCATGCCTCTTCTGATGACTAGAGAGGAAGAGGAAAGTCTGAGCAGAGACGGTCCCATAAGTCAACCAGCCTCAAATCTTGAAGGGCTATGAAGGGGGCAACCAACACCTTGAATTGCAGCCAGTAGCTTATCTGTAAAAATCTGAGAAGATTTCTTATTGCTATTTTGTGTGTATGTGTGTGTGTGTGTGTGTGTGTGTGTGTGTGTGTGTGTTTGTGTTTGTGTGTGTGTGTGTGTGTGTGTGTGTGTCTGCGATGAAATCAGAGTTGTGGGTTAGACTGATGTGTGAATCAAGCCTTGATTTGTATTCAGAGGAATGCTTCTGAAAATCACTGGGACTTAAAACCTTTTCAGGATTCAACTGGCTTATTTCAACGTGTCAGGTTTGATTTAGTGAAAATGTAGGGTGTTATGTGAACTTTGCCAGTGACCTTATCCCTGAGAAACTTGGTGCTTGAGAAAATAAAATTAAGCAAAACAAACAAACAAACAAACACGATTTGCAGTGAAGGAAGACCTTAGGGCTCATCTCTACCCTTGGCTGCCCACATGGTTTCTCCAGCTTTCGGTTGCTGCTTTCTATATTTGCAACACAAATATTTATTTCTTTCCTGCTACGATATTAAGTTATGTTTTTTTTCTGAAGATAGAACGAAGGATTACTTCTCTGTGTGTAATCTGGTTATTCACTGCTGAGCTGGCATTTAAGCCGGTTTAAAATGAATGTCACTGCTGCTTACATGGTGTGTTTTTTTTCAAACGTGTATCTTAAAAGACTCACTGTTAGTTTGAAATAGAGACAAGTAAAATACGAATAGGAACAACCTGAAGCCTGTTCTACTGCAGCAATGCTATGCGTGGATTCATATTCTGCGCTCATAGTTCATTATATTCAGCTGTATGAAGCCCTTTAAATGCAGATGGAAAACCTTCCAATTCCACATATCCATATATTATTCAATAGCCGGGAGAAAAAAAGGACATTGATTTGCTCCATAAGTATCTCTACAGTCCCTGTTTCATACTTGCACTATAGCGGTTAATATATTTCTAATTTTATTAAAATACTATTATTCATAGAGTGTGCTAGCTATGGTTGAATATTTACTAAGAAATGTGTAATAATAAGAACTTTATTATAGACCAGCAATAGACATCACTTTTTACAATATATTAAGAAAAAAATCAAAATAGTACTAACATTAATAGTAAATAATAACATCCCTGTTAAGAAAATACATGTTCTCGAAATGTTAGGGTCACTCCCTAATTTACGTGAGTGGATAGTCTATTAGAGTGTGAGTAAATATAATGTTCCAAACATTATTAGAGATAATCTCCCAAAAATTGGCACAAGTTGACGGCTATAAATCTGTAACCAATTTTTTTAAATAATTTTTTATTTTTCCAAACTCTTCCCCATACATATATACCGTGATATTTATCAGATGTTAACATACATTCTTTTTACATTCATATATAAGATACTTTTAATAAAATGAAATAAATACATACACATGACTTTTGGTGTTGCTCGCCCATTTCCCCTTTCACTGCATCCACACTCCTCCTCCTCTACCTTCTTTCTCCCTTTCTTCTCTTCCCTACTTCCCTCTTCTTCCTCTCCTCTCCTCTTTCCTTCACCACTTCTCCACACTTCTCTTTTCCTCCAACCTTCCTACTTCCTTCTCCCCTCCTTTACTCTTTTCTCTCTCGTCTCCTTTCTTCCCTCTCATCCCTCTTCAGATACAATGCAGGGGTAATGTCTGAGCAACTCCTCTCTCCAAATTTCCCCATCTGTATTATATACAATAAGATTAATTTTCTCTTACATTAATACTTCTATTTATCTAACCTTCTCGGTATATACTTCTATAAATATTTATACAACCTCCAGTTATTCAATACTGTGTCGCCTGGGTCTCCCTCCTTATCTGCTCCTTCTGCTTCCATCTAAATTGATGTTAACTATCTTTTAACCGTGTTCTCTTTTCAGCCAATCATAAAAAGTTCCCCAGATTTCATAGTAGTCTGACTCTGTCTTATCTTTAATTGTCATTGTTAGTCTATTCATTTCTGCACATTCCAGTATTTTCCCAATCACCTCTCCCTCTGGGGGGGGGGGGCTTTCAGTGTTTTCCAATTTTGTGCAAACACAATCCTGGCTGCCGTAATTATATGAATAATTAAATATGTGTAACCAATTTTTTTCTTGTGGACATGGCCGCAACACAGTATTTTGCCACTGCATGTGTGATAGAGGGGTTTGAGTCCTGGAGGAGAAAGCGTACATAAAAATGGTCTGCCCTCCCTTACTAAGAAATGTGTTTCAATTCTTGGCTGCAAAGCTTGCTGTGTTCATTTTGGACCAGTTTGTATTTGGCACCCAAAAACCATGCTCCATCATTTATACACAATTACTGGAATTTATACATATTAAGCAACATAGTAATGCATAAAATACAATAGTGACTAAAATTCTGACAAATCGCTGTAGTTGAAATTGTCCCCAAATTGATTTCTCTGTGTGGTA